TGTGTGTGTGTGTGTGTGTGTGTGTGTGTGTGTGTGTGTGTGTGTGTGTGTGTGTGTGAGTGTGTGTGTGTGTGAGTGTGTAGGCGTGTGAGTGCGAGTGTGTGAGTGTGTGTGTGTGTGAGTGTGTGTGTGTGTGTGTGTGTGATAATAAAAGAGTTGAACCACTTACTGAGATTACAGTCTATCCTGATACAGTCTGGTGGGAGAGAGAGTGAGATGGTGAGATCAAATTAAAGGAAAGAGAGAGAGAGACAGAAAACATTTCACATCCTTCAAAGTTCATTCTGCAGACATCTGAACATCAGGGGCCACCATCCGGGGACACGCATGAGTCAGCGGCACCTGTTCCCATCACACGTGTGTTAGCAGCAGAACCGCAGCGCTCCGCTCGTCTAGACTAGTCTGAACCGGATCAGACCGTCTGTGTGACACACCGGCCTGTGATTGCTCAATACTGGGTAACACTTCACAATAATGACCCATCAGTGAACACGAGTCAATAACCTTCATATTAGATGAGATAACCCTATACGCCTACTGTATCATATTTGATATGCAAACTTACTCTAAATGATTCACTGTTAAACCTGTCTCACTCAATCTCCTGCATGTCTTCTGTCTCTGGTTGATCGTTTAGAGTGTTTTATCCAGTCAGAGCTCTTTTAGTGTAACTGTAGCTGGAGCTTCTCGTGTCAAATCTTGACTGGTTTTGATCAAGTAAAGGTCAGAATAACTGCAGTAATATCTCCAGATGAACACTTACTGGACTGAAGCAGCTCAGCTTTACTTGATTCTCCATCAATCATGTTTTAGAGTCTCAAATCTGATCCTCAGGATCTTTTGAGGAGCGTTTGTTTCCAGAAGCTTTACTTTCACTGTTCCTCAGCGGAGGAATGATCTTCACAAGCCTCCAGAACATCTCACATCTTCTGAGGAGCCTTTATTTCTTCAGCTCTCAATCAGCATTGGATTGCATTGCATTACATATATTATATGTCAAAAGAAGGTACAGCAGATGTGTTGTATGTGTTTGTCTCTGCTGTAGTCGCTGGCTTCTCTTCATCATGGAGCATCTTTTCTCCAGACTGGAAGAGGATTTGAGCTGCAGACTGAAATATACTGAGACCTGCTTCCACGCTTCTGATCTCAGAGATTCATCAGTCAAGACCGGAGGACACGTTAATGAGCGATGCTTTCAGCTGTTTTTATCAAGTAAAGGTCAGAATAACTGCAGTAATATCTCCAGATGAACTCTTACTGGACTGAAGCAGCTCAGCTTTAGTTGATTCTCCATCAATCATGTTTTAGAGTCTCAAATCTGATCCTCAGGATCTTTTGAGGAGCGTTTGTTTCCAGAAGCTTTACTTTCACTGTTCCTCAGCGGAGGAATGATCTTCACAAGCCTCCAGAACATCTCACATCTTCTGAGGAGCCTTTATTTCTTCAGCTCTCAATCACTGCATTATATGTTTGGAGCATTTCAATCTCATCTTACTGAGACAGATTACTGGAGATATAGAGCGACGACTGATATTTATAGCATTTTATATCAGTATCTGCTGCACTGTTATAAAGATCTCACTGATTTACATTACAAGCAGCAGAATTACATCATAGAAATATCAGCATCTGCAGCAAAATTCATATTTTTGCTCCATATTCTCACTAAATGAGCCAGAAAAGCTCATTAAATATTTCATGCAAAAATTCAATAAACTCTTCCATTTCACAAAATATTTTATATCATGTTTTATAAGCTAAATAATATTTCCAGATACAACTTTTGATTTTACTCATGCATTAGATATTTAAATTAACATTAAGATGAATAAATGCTTTAGAAGAATTGTTAGTTTATGTCATCTAATGGAACCTAATTGTGAAGTGTAATCAAATACGGTCATGAACTGTCTAACTGATCGCTGAATATAATCCTTTACACGCTAATCAGCAGTTTCTGTGCAGCACAGTGAATGTGATGCTGACCGCTGTGATATGTCTCCTCAGATCCGTGAAGCGCTGCGGTCTGGAGCCGCGGGAAGGGTTTCACTGCACTCCTCAGCCAGCGAGCACATCTGCTGTGTGAGTGTGTGTCTCCTCCTGCTGGCGGAGGCTGTGTCTCTCAGGCTGAGGAGCGTCTCAATGTGTCGACCGCTGCAGAGTAGTGCTCGCAAGCAGCCCGGGACCGTCAGACCTCAGGCCTCGCTAACATACACCTCCTACAGGTAACTATGAGTTCAGGCAACTATATTCAGGCCTAAATTTAAGATTCAGCTGAATTAAATGCATAATGTGCAGCTGTTTGGATTATGCAGTTTTAGCATAAACTAATAAATGAATGTGATGATATTTGTCAGTCATACAGAAATCAAACGGCTCAGATTTCTGTAATAGTGCTAATAAACTGAATGTGTTTTAAATACACAATCACTAGCTTCATATATTTATAATCATCAATAAATCCAATTAGTTTCACTCTCAAACATTTTAACTAACTGAATATTGCCTGGGGTTATTACAGTTTATCATCATTTTGAAATAAAAAAAAACAATAAATATAAGAAGAAGAAAAAAGATGTTTAAAAAAAGTATTTTAATTGTCACACACACACACACACACAGTGTGTGTGTGTGTGAGTGTGTGTGTGTGTGTGAGTGTGGAAGT